TCCCCCAGTGAGGGGCTGGGGGCGTGGCTCAGTGGTAGAGCCCCTGCTTAGTAGGCACAGAGCCTTGAGTTCCAACTAATACATTCTCTCCCACCCCCCTCAAGTTAAAAAGCACCATTCATCCTCCCACTGGCACAATGCCTTACATTCTCTGAGTTTTTATTAACCGGACCCCTTCCTTTCAGTCTGCCCTGCCTAGTGGGGCAGGACCCGTCTCACCTGATATCTCCATGAAGTCATCCAGGCTGGGCTGCAGCGGCGTCAGGTCTGGCTGGATCATGTCAGCATTGCCAACATAAGCTGGAGGGACAATGCTGAGGTTGGAAGCTGCAGGCTGGGGAGACATCTCAGCCCTCTTCCCCCTTGCTCCCCCCCATTAACTCCTCACTGTCTTCTGGGGGCAGTTGTAGGGACGAGGGGCTGGGCTGTGTCATGGTGAAGAGTGTGTCGGAGATATCGGACAAGAAGCAGTCCAGGTCGAGAAGCTGCCGGCCCCCAGGCTCCTCCTCGGAGCCCGCAAGCAGCACAGGCACCACGCTGGAGAAGAGCTGTTCGCACCATCGCTCTGGTGGCGGCCACCCACCTTCCACCTGGCAGAATATAGAGGTCACTGCCCTGGTCTCCCATGTTACCCCTTGCCTGGGGATGAAGTAGTTCCCCACCCCTGCTTAGAAAGCTTCTCTAACGACACCACCTCACTTTCCCCAGAGAGTCTGGTTTTCTGTCTAGAAGGCCAAGGTCATCCTATTGGCCTCTAACTACTCCCTATATGAATGAAATCAGAGGAGGACGCCAATAGCATTCCTGTTCTCTGTGCTATAGTCTGGCGCTTTTTTTCCCCTTGATAAAGAGTTTCACTATATAGCCTTGCTGGTCAGGAACTCATTATGTAGACCAGGCTGACCAGGCTGGCTTCAACTCACAAAGACCCAGGTGCCTCTGCCTTCCAAGTTTTAGTATTAAAATCATGCACCAGTCCAGGCAATGGTGGCGGTGGTGGTGGTGGCGGTGGTGGTGGCAGCGGTGGCGGCAGCCTGAGCATGCACACTTTAATCCTAGCACTTAGGAGGCAGAAGCAGGCAGATCTCTCAGTTTGAGGTTAGCCTTGTCTACAGAGCGAGTTCCAGGATAGCCAGGGCTACACAAGGCTCAGGAAAAAAAAAATCATCATCACATCTTGCTGGCTTTAATTTTTTGAGGTAGGGTTTCACGTAGCCCAGGTTAGCCTGGACTCTCTGTGGAGTAGAGGATACCCGTGATCTTACTACCTCTACCTCCTTAGTGGTAGCACTGTTGATATGCACCATGAAGCCAAGGTTTTAGTTTGGCTCAAGACAGGGTCCTCAAGCTAGCCTCAAACTTCCTGAGCTGACTTTGAATCTGAAATCCTCTGGCCTCAGCAGATGCCCGGCTTTCTCTCTGAGCTCTTCTGAGATGTCTATCCCCTGGACCCTTTCCCCCTAGGCCTTCCACTGCCTGCTTGCTCTTCTTAAGACAGAGGTCGGGCTGGAGAGATGGCTCAGCGGTTAAGAGCACTGACTGCTCTTCCAGAGGTCATAAGTTCAAGTCCCAGCACAGACATGGTGGCTCACATCCATCTGTAATGGTTGATAACCTCTTCTGGTATGTCTGAAGACAGTGACAGTGTATACACATATATAAAACGGATAAATCTTTAAAAAAAAAAAAAAAAGACCGGCTGGGCGGTGGTGGCGCACGCCTTTAATCCCAGCACTTGGGAGGTAGAGGAAGGCGGATTTCTGAGTTCGAGGCCAGCCTGGTCTACAGAGTGAGTTCCAGGACAGCCAGGGCTACACAGAGAAACCCTGTCTCGAAAAACCAAACCAAACCAAACCAAAACCAAAACAAAAACAAACAAAAAGACACAGAGTTCTCTGCAGCTCACACTGGCGTTGGAGTCATTATTCAACACAGGCTGGCCTGGAACTCACTGTCATCCTGCTGCCTCACAACTGGATCTTCTCCAGAAGAGAAAGTTGCAGTGATCACCCACTTAGAGACCACTCCCCTTTTTCTCACACCCCAGTCAGCTCGCCCAGACCCCGCCCTCGGTCAGCCATTTTCCAGTCTCCAGTTTCCACCTTCCTAGGTGCCCTTCCCTGCTAGACTTACTGAACACTCACCTGCTTGGGAGTCAGGAAATCTCCTTCCCTGCTGGACTTACGGAGCTATGGAGACACAAAGTTAAACACTGGATCCTCTGTCCCCAGAGTCATACCCCACCTCCACCCACATCCATTGGCGCTCTTATTTTCCCAGGCTCCGCCCCTTTCCACCACCCAGGGAGAGCAGGGGTGGGGGGACTGTTGGGGAAACCCTGTGGAGCTACTAGGCTGGGACTGATGGGGGTGGGTATGGGTTAGGGTGGGGTCGTACGATCCCCTCCAGGGCTCTTAAGCCCCAAGGTGAACTGACCCGCTTCTTGTAGTAGATTCTCCACTTGTGGTATTCGCGCATCACCACCTCGATGCGCCGCTTCCAGTAATTCCCCTCCAGGACGACAGCCTGGGGAAGGGCAGGTGTCAGGGCTCAGTGGTCGATCTCCCCAGACTCTGTCTCACACCCAATCCCCACCGCGCGAGGAAACCTCTGGGTGGCTAAGCAGATGCGTGGGCAGCCCATTCTCCAGCTACCTGAGGTTTCCGGTGCTCATCGGCTTCAGAGCCCTGCAGAGGGGTCACGAAGCCACACACTGGGCTCTTCCTCCGTTGCACATCTGAGGAAAGAAGGCCAGGTCAGAGGCACCCAGACCTCTCATCCTCCACCCAGCGAGAGTGGAAGTCCAGTGCCACACTTTATAATCCAGCCTGACCATTATCTGTTTTTCAGACATTGGTCCTTTGATGTTCTCCAAGTCATTAGGTAGCATTTTATGCAGTGATGGTGAAGGAACTCAGGGCTCCTGCATGCTAGAAACACTACCCACTGAGCCACCTTTCCCTTTCCTCCCTGCCTCCTATCTCTCCCTACACGCTCTACTACTGAGTCGCACCTCAATCTCTCTCTCACTGAGACTCCACTCAGGCATGCTACCGCTGAGCCACACCTCCGCCCTCAATAAATGGTTCTGAGGATGAGGGGATACACCACCAAGCCTTGTGTAAATTATTTTTTTATTTTTATTTATTTAATGTATGAGTGTTCTGCTGTTCGGCTGCATATACATCTACAGGCCAGAAGAGGGCAGAAGATCCCCTTATAGATGGTTGTGAGCCAACCATGTGGGTGCTGGGAATTGAACTCAGGACCTCTGGAAGAGCAGCCAGTGCTCTTAACCACTGAGCCGTCTCAACCCTCCTGCCTTGCTTTAGCTCCAGGGTCTTTTCTGATCCCCACAATTTTCCTCTTCCTTTTGTCACTCTAAGAAACGGACACCCTAGTCTCATGTTTCGGTTCTACAGGCATCATATGTGCCCACCCCTCTCCCGCATTGTCAGCGCTGGAAACTCAGGACCTCCCCAGAAGGCCCAACTCCATCCCTCCACCCCTTCCCTCTACAGCAGCCACCTCCCCCACAAGCCCCAGGAGCTCTCCTTGATCTACCTCCGGACAGCTCTGTGCTGCTCCCTGAATTGCAAGTATTCCGAAACTTGCAAAGCTTCTTCCTAGCTCTCAGCGTTCCAAGTCCAACCACGTCAATTCAACAGGATCCGTGACAGGTCGTCCACTGTCCCCTCCTCTCCATCCTTCCGCTTATCCCCTAGCTGAGTCATTCCTTGCATGGACCTCCCTGACTCAAGCCTGAACATACCCAGCAGTTCACCACTGCTGCTGCTCCCTACAGCCTCCAGGGTCGGGAGCACACCCCTCAGACTCAGTTTGGTTTCCAAATTCCTCCTCACCTGGCTGCCCCTGCTTCCTATCTCCGCCATGTGTCTCATCCTGAAGCCATAGCCTACATTCTATTTGTTTGGTTTCTAAAACTGGTCCTACTATCGTCCTAGATGGCCTCGAACTTGTGATCCTCCTGCCTTAGCTTCTGAGTGCTACTTAGGCTTGAGCAGTGCCCACTAGGCTCTTCTCTAGCCTTATTCTACAGAAAACACCTATTCTTACTGTGATTTCATCCCGTGCTACACACTGTGAGTTATTTTTCTTCAGAGGTTATTGATTCAACAGGTCTTCCTCACAGACAGTGCTGAGAGCTATGTAGCTCAGTGGTAGAGAGAGCCCCTGCCTAGAATCCCCCAGTGAGGGGCTGGGGGCGTGGCTCAGTGGTATAGAGTATGGCTAGTGTATGTGAGGCTCTGGATTTCAACTTCAGTATCACAAAGAGAGATAAAGAGGGAGGGAGGAAAGAGAAGAGAAGAGGAGGTAGAGGAAGGGGGTAGGTAGGGAAAGAGATAGAGGAGGGTGAGGACTAGAAACTCCGTGCCAATGAGAAGGCACATGCCTACACCTTCAGCACTTGGGAAATGGAGGCAGGAAGGTCAAAATGTGGCACTGAGTTTAGGTTAGTCTGGGCTACAAAAGATCCAACAAAGAAGATGGGGAGGTGGAGGGGAAGAAGAGAAGACAAAGGGCTGGACCTCTGGGTGTATCGATCAGCAGGGTCCTAGAGCAGGGAAGGTTCCAGAGCACTCCCTCCTAACTTTACAAATGAGGCATGAAGACTAGGGAAGACTAAACATATCCAGGAACGACTGGGCCATGTCTGTCTCTCCCCCCTCCCCCTAGCTCAGGGACCCTGTGCTCTGCACAGACGGCTGTGACAGGTTTTATTTAACACCGATTATATCCTCTGTGCATTTGCTCTGCCATCGCGCCTTGCGCCCAGTCCCTCACTGGGGAGATTCCAGGTTGGCGCTCCTTCCTTCACCATTCACTACCTAACCCTTGCACCTTTGCAGGGCCCAATGCTGGGGTGAGAGGCCCGGGGGTAAATCGGGGCTGCTCAGAGTAGAAGAGATAAGGAAAACAAATATGGACAAACATAGATAAAGCCAAGTGGAAAGTCCCTCCTGCCCTGGGAGAGGTGCAAAGTGCCTTGGCAGCTCTGAGGAGAAACCAAGAGGCTTTGAGAGTGAGGGAGGAGAGGGGAGCGGACAGGGAAGGACGCAGCTGGCCAGGATGAATTTAGGGAACTGCAGCGGGGCAGTAGCGCCCCCTGCTGGGTGACATGAGGATGACACTTTCTGCTGGGGGGGCGGAACGGAATCTAGAGCTAGCACTGGGCTACAGCCATGGCTTCACCGTTATTACGGAGAGTTAAAATGTTACGACATTCATTTATTTTATGTGGGAGGGAAGAAGAACACACGTATGCCATGGTGCACATGTGGAGGTCGGAAAAGAACTTCCTGGAGTTGGTTCTGTCCTTCCATCTTCACATCAGTCCAGTGAACCAAATTCAGGTCGTCAGTCTCAGTGGAAAACGCCTTCGTCCACCAAGCCATCTTGTGTGTGTGTGTCTGTGTGTGTATGTGTGTGTCTGTGTGTGTCTGTGTGTGTGTGTCTGTGTGTGTGTCTGTGTGTCTGTGTGTGTGTGTGTCTGTGTGTGTGTCTGTGTGTCTGTGTGTGTGTGTGTGTGTCTGTGTGTGTGTCTGTGTGTGTGTGTCTATGTGTGAGTCTGTGTGTGTGTCTGTGTGTGT